CCAAATTCAAGTCTCTTCTACAAGAGCCTCGGAATTCGATAGCGCATCAGGTTGGAAACCGCATAATATTAATTTCGACGTCTTTTTCGATTATGCACCTGGAATAACCTGCTTTGTTTCTTCATACACTGTGTTTTGATACGGGAGTAAGGCATCGATAGAAAGCTTATGGACCGTAGATTCTAAAAATACAATTTTAAGACCGTGACAAATTCACGTCTTCGCTACAAGGACCTTGAAATTCAATAGAACATCACATTCGAGACAGCCCAAACACTAACCCTCACTTATCAAATTCTAACTTTATCGTCTTTATCGATTACACAGCTGGAAAAACTGCTTTTTTTCTCCACATCGGGCCTAGTGATGCAGGAAGGGGCATCGACAGAAAGCTTATGGATCGTAGATTCCAGAAATACTACCTTCAGGCTAGCCCAAATTCAAGTCTCTGCTACAAGAGCCTTGAAATTCGATAGAGCATCAGGTTGGAAACCGCATAATATTAATTTCCACGTCTTTTTCGATTATGCACCTGGAATAACCTGCTTTGTGTCTTCATAAACTGTGTTTTGATACGCGAGTAAGGCATCGATAGAAAGCTTATGGACCGTAGATTCTAAAAATACAATTTTAAGACCGTGACAAATTCACGTCTTCGCTACAGGGACCTTGAAATTCAATAGAACATCACATTCGAGACAGCCCAAACCCTAACCCTCACTTATAAAATTCTAACTTTATCGTCTTTTTCGATTACACAGCTGGAAAAAACTGCTCTTTTTCTCCACATCCGGCCTAGTGATGCAGGAATGAGGCATCGACAGAAAGCTTATGGATCGTAGATTCCAGAAATACAACTTTCAGGCTAGCCCAAATTCAAGTCTCTGCTACAAGAGCCTTGAAATTCGATAGAACATCAGGTTGCAAACCGCATAATATTAACTTTCACGTCTTTTTCGATTATGGACCTGGAATAACCTGCTTTGTTTCTTCATAAACTGTCTTCAGATACACGAGTAAGGCATCGATAGAAAGCTTATGGACCGTAGATTCTAAAAATACAATTTTAAGACCGTGACAAATTCATGGGACCTTGAAATTCAATAGAACATCACATTCGAGAGAGCCAAAACCGTAACCCTCACTTATAAATTTCGAACTTTATCGTCTTTTTCGATTACACAGCTGGAAAAAAAATGCTTTTTTTCTCCACATCCGGTCTAGTGATGAACGAATGAGGCATTGACAGAAAGCTTATGGATCGTTGATTCCAGGAATACAACCTTCAGGCTAGCCCAAATTCAAGTCTCTGCTACAAGGGCCTTGAAAGTCGATAGAACATCAGGTTGGAAACCGCATAATATTAACTTTCACGTCTTTTTCGATTATGCACCTGGAATAACCTGCTTTGTTTCTTCATGGACTGTCTTTTGATAGACGCGTAAGGCATCGATAGAAAGCATATGGACCATAGATTCTAAAAATACAATATTCAGACAGGCGTAAATTCACTTTTCCGCTACAGGGACCTTGAAATTCAATAGAACATCGGATTCGCGACATCCCAAACCCTAACCCTCACTTATATAATACTAACTTTCACGTTTTTTTAGATTACGCAGCTGGAAAAAACTGCTTTTTATCTCAACGTCCGGCCTAGTGATGCACGAATAGGGCCTCGCCAGAAAGCTTATGGATCGTAGACTTCGGAAATACAATTTTCTGGCTGGGCCAAATTCAAGTCTCTGCTACAAGGGCTAGTGATGGGCGATACCAGCTTTTTGGGTTCGATACGATACCAGTCCGATACCAGTCCGATACCATGAATTTTGGTCGATACCGATACCAAAATCGATACCGATACTCAATTTTTTCCATTTATTTAAATAACTTTTAAAACAAGAACATTAATGTTAACAAGTCAAAGAATACTCTAACTGGAGTACCTGCCAAATAATCGGACATAACATTTGCAATTATGATTTTAAATCTAAACAATATCAACGCGTTCAATGTTTTCCTCAAATATATTGCTAATTAGGTACAAGTTTTTGTTAAAGAACAGCATCATGTCAACATTTTATGCCTTCAGTCTGTTGCCTTCATGAAGTAATAAGCGATTGGTCAGCAATACTGACCGAAAACATCGCAGGCTCAAGTGGTATCGAATTACCGATACTTTTTTCGAGTATCGCAAGTATCGATACTTTTGTAAGTATCGATGTTCAATAAAAGCCAACATTAAATCGAGTTTTAGATCAAAATATTCGTTGTAAAACCTTTATTTTTTCGATTTTATCCAAGTATTACCACTTATCTTTAAAGAATGGACTTTCTTGTGTTCTTAGCCGTTAAAAAAGGGCTGCAAATTCCTTCAAAAGATGCTATTCTGTGAAGCTTACTGAATTACAACACGTGGTTGAAGCTTGAAGTGTGATGGTCTTTTCGCCTCGATACCAGCGCCGTAACCTGTTCACAAGGTGCTGAAAATACTCTGGCGTGTCTGCTTCTAAGGTATTTGGGCTTGTTCTTGTGTTGATATAGTTTAAATCTTGATGTATGAAAGATATAACATATGTCTCAATTTGCTGGGGTTTATTAAAAGCAGGGTTTTAATTAAAAATTATCAACCAACGTAGTTAGTGCCAGTGGTAACAAGCTTGTGTTAGTAAGGATTCAACTATCTCAAAAAAAAACAAAGCGAAATAAAACGTTTTCAGCGAAGGCCTTTTTTGGCAACGCCTAGATTATGCATCAGTCAATTCCAGCTGCGATTACCCCTCCCCCCCGGACAGTGTGGGGCATTTGTATGCTTACTTGTCCCCATGGCCAGGCACTTGCAGCTGCGTGTTCACCCGGGGGCCGGGCATTTGTCAATATCAGGTTATTACCCCCGGGCATTTGTTGCTCACAGAGAAAAGACTGCGGCCACAAGTTTCCTTCGTTGTATGCCAAAATGGACGACTATTAAATATGAATTTTTTTCTGTGTTGGTGTTGTGTACTCAGGTGAATAATATGTTTGCGATGTTACTCTGAGTGCATATCCACACCGGGCGAGCTTGAAAAATATGCCCGGCCACGGTGGGATTCGAATCCCACCGTGGTTCGACCCACCGTGGTTCGTAGATTCGAATCCCACCGTGGCCGGGCATATTTTTCAAGCTCGCCCGGTGTGGATATGCACTCAGAGTAACATCGCAAACAGACTATTAAATATGTTAAACAAATTTTATGTTATATTATTGTTGAATGTTGGTTTTCAAGTGTGAATCAATGTTTAAGATTTTCCTTTAGTCCATATTATATATATTGTATTTACAATGAAAAACTTTCTGCAATAAAACGGGTTTCAGAATGAGCTGCCGGCTACTTTTCGTTTACCCTGGTTGCCAGAGGTTCTGTATCTTTCGCCTTATTCCCACTCATATTTATTTTATGCGAGGCGAAGAGAACCTCTGGTGGCACGCAATACAAATCTCTCTTCCTTTGGTACAAAATTTGTACCAAGCACATGATTGGTTAGTTATAATTAGCAGTCACATGAAGTGATGTGATTGGCTAATAATACGAACGTATTAAATTTAAAATGCTTACTCAGTGCGGGTTATTTGTTCCGCTATAAAAATATTTTCTGCGCTGGAGAAGAGCTGCCATCGCAGCATGACATGTTCACTCTATACAGTAGTAATATTTGTAAAATATAAAGTGTTGGTCACTTGCTTATTGTTCAAGGTTTTAAATTTTGTCAAACAGTCTGAAGAGAGCTATTTTGGTAGTATGACAAACCCGGAAGTTTAAAAACGTCACAAAATATAAAACTGGTTTTGCAAGTTCTCAAATAACCTGAGTATCAGGCTCTATTTTACAAATAGAGCCTGACACAAAACTTAACCTGATCGCTTTCCGCCCACAGCAAAGTTTATATTTAGTATCCAATCAAAATGTCGCAGGAGAAATTTAAATTTCACTCAACGACAACAACAATCTAATTATAGCATAGGCAGCCCACTAAACGGCTGAATTTAAATTAAAACTGCAATGAACTTATAAAATTAACAAAAATAATCACAAATTAGCGAAATATATTGCAAATGTAGCTTATATTAAATCGTCACCCGATTGCTCTCTCATCCGCAGAGGTTTCAGTGACTACAATGAGCTTTACATGGCGCTTGCCGTATTTATCAACAAACTGACGTATAATTATAAAGTATATATATACATATTAAATATACTTTATAACTATACGTCAGTTAGTCGACAGTGCAATCTGATGGCAATTTAATATAAGCTACATTTGCAATATATTTCGCTAATTTGCGATTATTTTCTAATGTTACTGCAGTTTTAATTTAAATTCAGCCGTTTAGTGGGCCAGCTATAATTGTAGTTGTGATCGTTATAAAATATATCAACAACAATAGTATAATCTAATTAGCACCAGCCAATCAAATGACAGATTTAAAAAATTGTTTGTCTAATCGGCCAATCAGCGCTCAGTCCAGATTCTGGACTGAATAACCAGGCAAAATGCCGCTTTTGTGTCAGGCCGTACTTTTCTCCCCTTCGCCCGCGATCAGGCGTGCCTGTGCCCTAAAAAGTACGGCCTGATACTCAGGTTAGTTCTCAAACAGCAACGTCAGCATGGAGATTTGTATCGCGTGCCACCAGAGGCTCTCTTCGCCTCGCATAAAATAAATACGAGCAGGAATAAGGTGAAAGATACAGAACCTCTGGCAACCAGGGTACTTTTCGTTTGGTCACAGGAAAAAAATTATATACAAAGGTACAAGCGAACCAACACGATGTTTGTTATGTTTCAATTGGAATTCAAACAAAACATCACTTATTTTGGAAGATCAATAAGACCAACATAGCTTGCTTTCTTAATAAGTTGCTGTCGAAAAAGTGATAATATAAACATTCTTAATTGTTTTCTTGTCGCCATCTTGAATTTCGTAGCAAATGGTCAGCGGCTCTGAATCTTCCTGAACAGGAAGAAGTAAGATGACTCTGATAGCGACTTAAGCATTGGGGAATCAGAATTTGGCAGTGAGCCAGAGAACGAGTCCGATTCAGAGCTACTTTGGTAAATGTTTTTCAAGTGACTATATTCTTTGACAGTGAATTAATTATGATAAAGTATAACATAAGTATTAAGCATCATTTGATTAACCCATTGAGTGGCGATGCACCCTACTTTAGTATTTTACTCTGTCTAACACCAGACAATATTACTCGTCAAGTGGAGAACGCTGGCACTTAATGGGTTAACTGGCCTATCTCCCCATGTGTCTAGTTAACCCATTGAGTGGCGATGCACCCTACTTTAGTAATCTTTTTTACTCTGTCTAATGCCAGACGATTTTACTTGTTAAGTGGGGAGCGCTGGCACTTAATGGGTTAATGATTTCGGACTCAAAAATTAATACTAATAGTGTACATTGCCATTCTGTTTATGCTGCTGTAAAAATTAAACTACTAGTAACACATTAAAGTACATTGTCATTTACAAGTATAAATGCAAATGTCATCTAAATCTAACATGCAGAGCCTGAAATAATTTTAAAATTTGTCCGGAAAAACTTCCAATCAAAACGAAATTTGACCGGAAATTTGCAAAATTGACCGGAATTTTTTTTAGTTTAGTTTGACCAAGTCCACCCCCCCAATGAGCAAACTCTGTCAAGCATGCAGACGTGCACTGAGTAAATCACTCTACTTGAAATAATAAAACACAAATGTTTAATTCTGAATTGCTTATTGGAATAGTTATAGTGAATAATAATTAATAATTTTTAAAACATTGTCTTTGAAAAACGAAGGAGTTCGATTCAGTTGTGAATTATTTCGGGCAATTGTTAATGCATGATATGTGTAAGGTAATTGTAACTGTAGCGAAAAGTTTCAAAATGGTCGTGAGCCGACGGGTGTTTTAAATTGATTGACGGGTGATTTAAATTCCAAATTAATTAAGACTCACCTCACATTTTCACCACAGCACCACGCCACAGAATAAGTAGGTATAGCAGAAGTGTAACTCTAGTCGTTTCCCTTATTGTTTTACGTCCACGGAAATTTTAACTCGGTCACGCCAATCCACATCATCCTGGCTAGTACAGCCGGAAGTTTTTATCAGGTTTTGGTAGGTACAAAGTGCCGGTTGTACTAGCCGGGATGGTGTGATTGATGACGAATCGCTTGTAAAAACGCGGACAAATACTTGCTTGAGTTACGCTTCTGCTATACCTTCCAGGTGATCTTGATACGCAGAAAAGTACTGGCACTAGTTGTCAAATAGAAATCCATTTTATGATTAAAACAACTGAATATCTCCTGTAATATACTTTATTTCGATTCCATATTTTTGTCAGAGCTATGGTTCTCATAAGCAAACATAATTACAAAATTTCAACTAGTTTCATAAAGAATAACGAAAGATATAATTGACTGAATACATCAAAATGGATTTCCATTCGGACAACCCTTTCTGAGCGCTGATTGGCTAAAATATGAACACAAGATCACCTGGTTCCTATCACTGAGCTATAGCTCAGTGGTTCCTATTCTGTGACCACGCTGTAAGCCGCCATCTTGTTTATTGAGCCCGTGAACTATACTTTCCAGTTGATTACTTTATTTTAGCCTAATATAGATAATCCAAACTTACAGATGGTACTCACTGTGCTGAGCGCCAACCCGATCATTAAGAAAATATTTATCTTTTTCTCAAAATTTGGCCGGACAAAATTTCCGATCATTTCAGCATTTGGTCGGAAAAATCGGAATTTGGTCGGAAAACCGCCGGCATTATTTCAGGCTCTGACATGTTAACTGTTCTACTTTGTCTTTTTACTTATTCTGTATTATTTGATTGTTAATTTGCGGCAAAAATTTTTTAAAGAGGCTGTCAAGTCCGTTCTGCCACGGTTAATTCTATTAACTGTGGTTCTGCTCATGCACATGTTTTGTTTACATTTTTTGTGATAATTTAATTAAAATTCTGATCTGGGGGTCTCCAAGTTAGCCTGCGTGGCAGGCCCTCAAATTTATGGGGGGGGCCTGATTTGCAGTGGGCAGGATTTTGGCGGGCTCCAGGGGAGGATTAAGGGCCTGCAGGAAAGCCTGCCTTTCATGACTACACGCCCCAGTCATAACATAACACTGGTTTCTAAAAATATTCACTTGCACGTAAACATGTCAATCAAACAATATTGCGAATTAAACTCAATACTATAATACAATTTAATACAATATTGCAGATTTTGTAAGTGTTGTTTTAAATTAAATTAAACAGCAATTTGGCAATTTTAGTAAAATTGTTAATGTTTCATCACAAAAAACCATTGAAAAGAAAACAATCTTTCGGAATTGTGCTCTCAGATTATATGTGAGAAAGTTGGCTTTTGTTAATACACTACAGTACTACACGAGAAGTTTCAACACCATTACCAGGGCCAAAGATGTAGAAACATCAGCAAAGCGTAAACTGTTAATTCTTGACCCGCTGACCCGTAGTCCATTCAACCAAACTGAATCAAATACTAGGGTTTTCCAAATGCTAGGGTTTTCCACTGACTAGGTATTGACCAATCAGGTGATCGTATTCACCGTTCAGAATCTGAACAGCGTCAAAGAGTAAAGATATAAGGGGCGGACCATTAGAAATCCCGGGAGGGGGGGTATAAAATTTTTGCGGCACGAATTTTTTTTTCAGTCTCATGTGTCTGCAGGAATTTTTTTTAATGCACTTAACCTCTGCACGAATTTTTTTTCAACACTACTTCTACTTTGTTTATGGCGACCCCCCCCCCCCCGTCGCCAAAGTTACCACAAAATTGACAGAATTTGTCAATTTTGCCTGACTGTTCAGCGAATATTGCCCGACTGCCAAATGCCCGGTACGCCCATGAGAGGGTCCTGAAGGGGGGGGGGGGTCCCAATCCCATTTCCCACCTGAAATTTTTGCAAAATCCCAGTTCCAGTTGGATTTTTATTAGAAATCCCAGTCCTAGTTATTGAAATCCCAGTCAATAAAAAACCCTTTATTTATCGGTAGAATAAACAGTTTTAAGACCTTTTAAGCAAGTGGCGGACACTTTACGAAATATTAGGGGGGGCTCGTGCCGAAGGCACGGAAAATTTTAAAATTTGAAACCCGGAAATGGCATTTGCAGCATTCTGAGACACGCATAATCAGAAAACTCAGAATTCCGGGCGCCAGAGTATGCCTGTTCGCAGGTAGTGCTGTGAATAATATCTTAACAACAAAAATCATGACAAAAGACACCAAAAACTGATCAAAATTGTATTTTAAAATACTCAAAACGCAGAAAAATTGGGAATCGACTCGCATTACCTCAATCCCATTCCCATTTTTGAGGACTTCATTTCCCATTCCCAGTGGCCAAATCCCAGTCCCAGCAACCCAATTCCCATTTTCCCAGTCTAAAAATAGATCAATCCCAGTTCCCATTTTACCCCTTCAGGGCCCTCCCATGACTTTGCTGTTTGCTTGCACGAATTTTTTTTCCCTTACGTAATGGCTGCACGAATTTTTTTTCCAGGCATTTTTCTTTGCACGAATTTTTTTTTTGGAATTTTCACCCCCCCTCCCGGGATTTCTAATGGTCCGCCCCTAAAGAGAGTTCACTCGGTGAAAAATGCTGTGTTTAGGTCGTCACATGGATTTGCGAAGCTGATGCCATTTACACGCCATCAAAAGCAAATTAAATATTAAAAAAGAATTTAATATGCTGCAGCCAGTACCGTCGCTGCATTTTCAGTCAAAACTATAGGAAAAACATAGTTCGAAATTTGATTTTGAAAGTTGAAGGCTCGGTCTGGCCACAGATTGTGATATCCTATATCCTATCTATTTCAGTGGCAGGACTCTCTGCTTGGCAAGTTGAGTTTGTACTTAATGGGTTAGTATCCTGACAATCAAAATACACAATTTAAATCAGATCAACACACGTATCGAACTCTCAAAGACTGAGACATTTTGGTCGAGACTTGTTTTTTGCTAGTTTTTTCTCGTTGAAAAAAGTGAATTATGCTCTTACTTGAACATTATACGATACGAAATATACTGGAATGTCAATTCTGAACAACTTCTGAGCTTTTCTGCTGCAAAAACAACACAACTGGAGTATAGAACATCGTGTAGAACAACTTTATGATCTCTTTTTGACTTGTCAACACAAGTTTCGAACTTCACTCCTTCGAGTAGAATTTTCCCTTTTCGCAGCGTTCAAGTAGTGTTTGCAGCCCCATTTGTTGTTAAAAATGTCCTGTCTAGCCCATTTTCTTGAAATTAAAACGAAACAGCATGTCACCTGGATAGTTTCGTTAAAATCGCTGTTTTTATGACAAAAATTCGGATTTCCCCATCTATTTCCTTATAAAAAAAATTCACGGTGCTGGCTCCTGGCTGGGAAGTTACGCATGCGCAGTATGGCCGATCGTGCGTGTGACTTGTTTTGGCTTGAGTGAACTCTCTGTATATACTTCCTCTGTGACGGTGTGTAGTCATAAACATATGATTCCTAATATAGGACAAGAAATTTTAACTTTTGTGCTTATTCCTAGGAGTAAGCCATTATATTATTCTCAAATTTCAAGACTTCAAGTATCTTATATTATCGAGTAACCCGAATATCATTATAATATCATTAGACTCTTATTCCCTTTAACTCGTTTATACTAACTTAGCTGAAAGCAGCAAGTGACCCAAAAGAATAATTGTGCAACTAGTGTAAACATTTAAAAATTGCAGCAAGCAACATAAAATGGATTAAACATTCAAAAATTTTAGTACTTTTTGCTCCTAGGAATAAGAGAAAAAAATGAAAAGCGTTGTCCTATTTCAGGCATGGTATAGTCATGAAAGGTGGGCTTTCCTGCAGGCCCTTAATCCTCCCCCGGAGCCCACCAAAATCCTGCCCACTGCAAATTCGCTATATATGATGCCATATTGGTTGCATTAACTTGCAAAGGCTTCCTTTATTTAGCTCTTCCCATCACTCCTTGCACGCTCACTTTTCCCTCCCTAAAAACTTCATGTAAGCCTCTGTGGAGGAGAGAGGGGAAAAACGACAAAAAATAAGGCTATTATAGCCTTTACTTTTCATCGATTTTCACAACTTTTTTCATTAAGGCCTGTGATCCCCCCTTTGCATTTGACCCAAAGTTTGGAATGGCTTGGGGCAGTTTTGGGAAAATTTCCAGTTGTCCCCCCAGGCCCTTTGTTGATCCTGGGGTTGCCTGTGTTCCCCTCCTTGCATTTGACCCAAATTTTTCGAAACATGTTTTTATGAGTCGGAAGTGATCGTTTTGATTAGAGAAATGTTTCTCAACAATTTTCAGAAAGTTTGGTGTGAGTTGGGCCTCTTGAATTTTTACTGTGATCACCATTTGTTGACCGTAGGGTTGCTTATGATCCCCCCTTTGCATTTGACCCAAAGTTTTTGAAACAAGTTTTTCTAAGTCGAAGGTGATCGTTTTGATGAGAGAAAGAAAGTTTTGTGAGTTGGGGGATCTATGAATTTTAAAAAAATTTCCTGTGGTACTCTCATTTTTAACCCATCGAGTCTCATTGTGCCCAGATGCTCTCTGCTTTACTCTGTCTAACGCCAGAAGATTTTACTCGTCAAGGGGAGAGCGCTGGCGCTTAATGGTTAACTGGCCTATCTGCCCATGGGTGTATATAACCCATTGAGTCGCATAGAATAGAAGAATTATTTAATGTCGAATGACACAGAGTGTGGTTGCCCAATCACTCGAGCCAGGGGCTCATGATAGAAGTGCTCGATGCGCCCGATTGTGCCCAGATGCGCCCTGCTTTGTTATTTTACTCTGTCTAACGCCAGACGATTTTACTCATCAAGGGGAGAGTGCTGGCACTTAATGGGTTAAACACAAAAGTGTGAATTTTCTTTGGTTGCCTATGATCCCCCCTTTGCATTTGACCCAAAGTTTTTTAAACAAGTTTTTCTAAGTCGAAGGTGATTGTTTTGATGAGAGAAAGAAAGTTTTGTGAGTTGGGGGATCTTTATGAATTTTTAAAAAAATTCCTGTGGTACTCCCATTTTTAAAAACAAAATATGAATTTTTCTGTTGCATCCTTCGTCTGGTATCAGTTAGATAAGATATGTTGTCAGTTGATATGTGCAAATAACTAGATTAATATCTTTCATTGTTTAGATATTTTGTTCCAAGAGAATTTGGATCAGTTAGCAGTCCTCAATGTTGAACCGGATTACATGACAGGAAAAGAAAGATTATACCAAACAGAATCATCTACAGTCGCTGTCTTGAATCATTTAAATAAGGTTAGTTTATAAAACGCCTTCCAGGCAATGTGGCATGAAAATTTTAAATTCTGAATAATATGTTATCCCTTGGGGAATTCATCCAATCTAAGCCAATAAATGCAAAGCCCTATGTCAGTGAGCATTTTTTATCAGTTGAAAGTAATTGTTTTGATGAGAGAAATAAATGCTTATCGACAATTTTCAGAAAGTTTGGAATAATAGTTCCGGGCCTTTTTTATTTAAAAAATTCCTGTGCTCTCCCTTTGTTGAGCACAGATTGCCACTTGCCTGTGGTTGCCCGCTTTGCAAAATGTTCTAAAACGTGTTTTTATCAATTGAAAGTGATTGTTTTGATGAGAAAATGTGTCTCAATGTTTACTTTTTGTCCATTTTGACGTAAAGCAACAAAAAAAACAACAAAAAAGCAAGACTATTTTGATTGACAATTTTTCATCGCTAGCTTTTGAAAAAAAAAGAAAGAAATTAAAGAAATCACTTCAACAGAAGAACAAAGTGATTTAAAACGAAAAACTAAAAAAAAGAAATTGAAGAAATCACTTCAATAGAAGAACAAAGTGATTTAAAACGAAAAACTAAAAAAAAACAAAGAAATTGAAGAAATCACTTCAACAGAAGAACAAAGTGATTTAAAACGAAAAACTAAAACAAAAAGAAAGAAATTGAAGAAATCACTTCAACAGAAGAACAAAGTGATTTAAAACGAAAAACTAAAAAAAAAGAAAGAAATTGAAGAAATCACTTCAACAGAAGAACAAAGTGATTTAAAACGAAAAACTAAAACAAAAAGAAAGAAATTGAAGAAATCACTTCAACAGAAGAACAAAGTGATTTAAAACGAAAAACTAAAAAAAAAGAAAGAAATTGAAGAAATCACTTCAACGGAAGAACGAACTTTAAAACGAACAACTACAATGCTTGAAACAGATAAGACGACTTTTTCATAACTGGGCAGAAAACAGCAAATAAGTAAGGTTATTGCCTTAAGTTTTCGTCGATTTTAACGACTTTTTTTCGTAAAGGGACAAAAACAGCAAAAAAGCAATTAAAAAGGACAAATAATAGCAAAAACCAATTTTTACGACATTTTTCATTTTCCGTAAAGAGACAAAAAGGAGAAAAAAGGCAAGGCTATACCCTTTACTTTTCGTCCATTTTTGGCGACTTTTTTCATTTTTCATAAGTGGGCAAAAAACAGCAAAAAAGCAAGGCTATATATAGCCTTAACTTTTCGTCCATTTTTAGCGACTTTTTTCATTTTTCATCAGTGGGCATAAAACAGCAAAAAAGTAAGGCTATATTTCCATTTTTCATAAGTGGCCAAAAAACAGCAAAAAAAGAAAAAAACAGCAAAAAAGTAAGAAACATGAAAAACGGCAAAAAGTAAGGCTATATTTCCATTTTGAAAAACATGGACCTGAAAAACATTTCAAACGTGAAAAACGGCGAAAAAGTAAGCCTATATTTCCATTTTTCACAAGTGGTCGAAAAACAGCAAAAAAGTAACGCTATAGCCTTCGTCCATTTTTGGCGACTTTTTCATTTTTCATAAGTGGGCAAAAAACAGCAAGAAAGTAAGGCTATACCCTTAACTTTTCGTCCATTTTTGGCGACTTTTTTCATTTTTCATAAGTGGGCAAAAAACAGCAAGAAAGTAAGGCTATACCCTTTACTTTTCGTCCATTTTTGGCGACTTTTTTCATTTTTCATAAGTGGGAAAAAAACAGCAAAAAAGTAAGGCTATACCCTTAACTTTTCGTCCATTTTTGGCGACTTTTTTCATTTTTCATAAGTGGGCAAAAAACAGCATAAAAGTAAGGCTATACTCTTTACTTTTCGTCCATTTTTAGCGACTTTTTCCATTTTTCATAAGTGGTCCAAAAACAGCAAAACAGCCTTAACTTTTCATCCATTTTTAGCAACTTTTTCCATTTTTCATAAGTGGGCAAAAAACAGCAAGAAAGTAAGGCTATACCCTTTACTTTTCGTCCATTTTTGGCGACTTTTTTCATTTTTCATAAGTGGGCAAAAAACAGCAAAAAAGTAAGGCTATACCCTTAACTTTTCGTCCATTTTTGGCGACTTTTTTCATTTTTCATAAGTGGGCAAAAAACAGCAAGAAATAAAGTAAGGCTATACCCTTTACTTTTCGTCCATTTTTGGCGACTTTTTCCATTTTTCATAAGTGGCCAAAAGGGACAAAAAAAACAGCAAAAAGATTAGATGCTGTTCTTGTTTGCCTGCGAACAGGTTGTAGATATATAGATACTTGTACCCAAGCCATTGCTTGTTTTGTTGTTCTGGGTACAATGAAATCCGGCATAAATCCTGGGGGTCTAAATGTTCAGTATATTTAGACATTCGATCTATTTTCTGTTCAGTAGACTTTGATAGTTTGAACGAAAGTTTATAACAATGATTTTCTTTGCAAAAACTGTACTTTCGAAATTCGTCAGTTTCTGAATTTGAAAACCGATCACACGCACTACAAGTGCAGCAACGCAACAGTTTAGACAGGGTCATGAGGCAGGATGTGTGCAAGAAAAGCTTTGCCAGAGTTTTGTCTTTCGAAATAAACGATTGGAAATTGCTGTTTGATTCTTTGTAATATCTTATCGCTTGTTAGTAAAAAAGAAATTTGTCACTTTCCTCATCTCTAAACCTTTTTTCAAAAAAAAAAACTGGCATCGTTTTTCTTGGGGTTAGGGGGTACAAATGGTACCCATAGCTTAGAGGGTGCAAATGGTACCCGTAAGAAGACTTGGTGGAATCATGTTGGTCGTTTGGATCGGCGAGAATAAGAGAATTATGGTGGCAAAGTTTTTTCAAACATTTTCTCTCCCGTAGTAAGGTAAAGCATGTATATTCCTGGTAGCCGGTCTTACTTCATGAAAAAACAGTCCGCTACCAGTGACTAGGTCCCCTCTCTTATGGCGGTCATTGCGGCTCAATGTGTTCAATGGAACACAAAGGTATTCAGGCATGTAGAGGTATTCCTTTTCAGAGCGGTTGCATGCGGATAAGATGGTCCGTCGCGTGCGCAAAATAGTTAGGGAGATAGACAGTTTAGAAGCGCAATGAACACTCGCACGAAACGTAAAAATAAAATGGCTTAACAAAATTGCGAAAAAACAAAAAATTGACAACTTTGCCATTTTGAGCGCATGCACAAGGTTTTAACATAAATAATAAAAAGCAGTGTCCGTGGTCGGGGCTGAATAGTACTGTGGAAGATTGGGTTGGAAAATTTACAATTAAGATCTGTATTTTTGGACGATTATTACTCTTTTGAAAATTAGTATCCTATACTGATGTAAAATAACATCTAAAGGGTTTGGCAACAATGATGTCCAAAGAGGATGTTAGCCCCAAAGTTTATTTCATAAAATGATTTATATTTGAAAATACTGAATTACAAGACAGTATAAAAAAATTTCGAGTAAAAGTTTAATAATAATTGAATTGATAAGGCCATTTCCACTCAAGAAAATTTGGGGCTAATATTAGGCTTAATGCATATGTCGTTCTTTGTCTTTCATTTAAAGGAAAAATACCAAACTCTCCTAACGTCTTTGTTGCCAGCAGTTTTGTAACTTTCATGAAAAAATCAAAGAAAAGTCTTGAGGTTTTGTTTTACTTATATAACTAACATGTTTTTTTTGGTTTTCAACAAAGTTAATAATGGTCTAGAAATACAGATTTATATTGCACATGTTAGTAAGTTTCTTCTGTAACTGCACAATTATTGCAAAATTGTGCGATTATCACACTATTAAAATTAGTAAGGTCTGTGAACATTGGCACAACTGCTTGTTGCCATGCATAAATTTTTAACTAATTTTTGGGATTGGATTTATTCAAATTTGAGATGATTTTGAACACATATTATTGGTACCAATGTTACTCATTGTATGAGTAAAATATTGTTCGTTTATACATTGTTCTAGTTTTTACAGCTTTTATTGTTTTAACAGTCGAAATATATGTTGATTTTGTTGAATTATTTGTTAATTATTCGTTCATTTTATGCATGATGAAACCCGAAATTTATAGTTTGATGGTCACAACAAATTTGAGCATATAAAAAAGTTAAAATTGTACACCAAAACACTAGCTGTAATATTTGAACTCGCTAGAACACAACTAGTTTTAAATACGTTTGAATTGAATTTCATACATGCAGTATTTCAAATATTGTGATTGATTATCTGTTTCAAAACTTTTGAAATCATGCATACAGCTATTTCAATATTAAGGTTGTGCAAGAGCAAAGCGAAAAAGTCGAATACGAGCGGGAAAGGCTGCTGCGAATCGCTAACAACTGAGTCGTCAGTCAGGAACCTTGTCAGCCTTTCGCGCTCGTATTAGACTTTTCCGCTTTGCTCGTGGACAACCTTAATATTGAAATAGCTGTATGCATGATTTCAAAAGTTTTGAAACAGATAATCAATCACAGCATATTTGAAATACTGCATGTATGAAATTCAATTCAAACGTATTTAAAACTAGTTGTGTTCTAGTGAGTTCAAATATTACAGCTAGTGTTTTGGTGTACAATTTTTTATATGCTCAAATTTGTTGTGACCATCAAATTTGTTGTGACCATCAATAAATTTCGGGTTTCATCATGCATAAAATGAACGAATAATTAACAAATAATTCAACAAAATCAACATATATTTCGACTGTTAAAACAATAAAAGCTATAAAAACTAGAACAATGTATAAACGAACAATATTTTACTCATACAATGAGTAGCATTGGTACCAATATGTATTCAAAATCATCTCAAATTTGAATAAATCCAATCCCAAAAATTAGTTTAAAAATTTATGCATGGGAACAAGCAGTTGTTGCCAATGTTCACAGACAATTCACAGTACTATTTGGTTTGTGGGTTCAAATCCCAAAACACTTAATTTTTATTTATAAAAAAAAAGGATCGGATGGATCCGAAGGATCGGATGGATCCGAAGGATCGGATGGATCCGAAGGATCGGATGGATCCGAAGGATCGGATGGATCCAAAGGATCGGATGGATCCAAAGGATCGGATGGATCCAAAGGATCGGATGGATCCGAAGGATCGGATGGATCCGAAGGATCGGATGGATCTAATGGATCGGATGGATCCGAAGGATCGGATGGATCCGAAGGATCGGATGGATCCAAAGGATCGGATGGATCCGAAGGATCGGATGGATTCGAAGGATCGGATGGATCCGATGGATCGGATGGATCCAAAGGATCGGATGGATCCAAAGGATCGGATGGATCCGAAGGATCGGATGGATCCGAAGGATCGGATGGATCCAAAGGATCGGATGGATCCGAAGGATCGGATGGATCCGAAGGATCGGATGGATCGGATGGATCCGATGGATCGGATGGATCCGAAGGATCCAATGGATCCGAAGGATCCAATGGATCGGATGGATCGGATGGATCCGATGGATCGGATGGATCGGATGGATCCGAAGGATCGGATGGATCCGAAGGATCGGATGGATCCGAAGGATCCAATGGATCCGAAGGATCCAATGGATCGGATGGATCCGATGGATCGGATGGATCCGATGGATCGGATGGATCCGAAGGATCGGATGGATCCGAAGGATCGGATGGATCGGATGGATCCGATGGATCCAAAGGATCGGATGGATCCAAAGGATCGGATGGATCCGAAGGATCGGATGGATCCGAAGGATCGGATGGATCCAAAGGATCGGATGGATCCGAAGGATCGGATGGATCGGATGGATCCGATGGATCGGATGGATCCGAAGGATCCAATGGATCCGAAGGATCCAATGGATCGGATGGATCCGATGGATCGGATGGATCCGATGGATCGGATGGATCGGATGGATCCGAAGGATCGGATGGATCCGAAGGATCGGATGGATCCGAAGGATCGGATGGATCCGAAGGATCGGATGGATCCAAAGGATCGGATGGATCCGAAGGATCGGATGGATCCGAAGGATCGGATGGATCGGATGGATCCGAAGGATCGGATGGATCCGAAGGATCGGATGGATCCAAAGGATCGGATGGATCGGAAGGATCGGATGGATCCGATGGATCGGATGGATCCAAAGGATCGGATGGATCGGAAGGATCGGATGGATCCGATGGATCCAATGGATCGGATGGATCCAAAGGATCGGATGGATCCGAAGGATCGGATGGATCCGATGGATCGGATGGATCCAATGGATCCGAAGGATCGGATGGATCCGAAGGATCGGATGGATCCGAAGGATCGGATGGATCCGAAGGATCGGATGGATCCGAAGGATCGGATGGATCCGAAGGATCGGATGGATCCGAAGGATCGGATGGATCCGACGGATCCGATGGATCGGATGGATTCAATGGATCGGATGGATCCGAAGGATCGGATGGATCCAATGGATCGGATGGATCCGAAGAATCCATCCGATCCTCCGGATCCATCCGATCCTTCGGATCCATCCGATCCTTTTTTTTTATAAATAAAAATTAAGTGTTTTGGGGATTTGAACCCACAAACCAAATAGTACTGTGAATTGTCTGTGAACATTGGCACAACCTGCTTGAACTTCATGCATAAATTTTTTAACTAGTTTTTGGGATTGGATTTATTCAAATTTGAGGTGATTTTGAACACATATTCGTCGTATGTTACTCATTCTATGAGTAAAATGTTGTTCGTTTATACTTTGTTCTAGTTTTTTATAGCTTTTATATTGTCTTAGCAGTTGAAAATATATGTGATTGTTTACGAAATATATTGAATTATTTGTTAATTGTTCGTTCATTTTATACGTGACGAAACCCGAAATTAATAATTTGATGGTCACAAAAAATTTGAGCATAAAAAATGTTAAAATTGTACACCAAAACACTAGCTATTATATTTGAAATAACTGGAACACAACTAATTTGAAATACGTTTGAATTGAATTTCATACATGCTTGCATCCCAAAAGTTCTGATCGATTATCTGTTTCAAAACTTTTGAAATACTGCATGTTATGAAATTAAAATTCAAACGTATTTAAAATTAGTTGTGTTCCAGTTATTTCAAATATAATAGCTAGTGTTTTGGTGCACCAATTTTAACATTTTTATGCTCAAATTTTTGTGACCATCAAACTATTAATTTCGGGTTTCGTCATGTATAAAATGAACGAACAATTAACAAATAATTCAATATATTTCGCAAACAATCGCATATATTTCAACTGCTAAGACAATATAAAAGCTATAAAAAACTAGAACAAAGTATAAACGAACAATATTTTACTCATAGAATGAGTAACATACGAATATGAGTTCAAAATCACCTCAAATTTGAATAAATCCAATCCCAAAAACTAGTTAAAAATTTATGCATGAGAACAAGCAGGTTGTGCCAATGTTCCACAGACCTTACTAATTTTAATGTGATAAACGCACAATTTCGCAATAATTGTGCAGCTAGTATAGGTAATCATGCGATGTTGCTCGTACAATTAGGGATTAATAGTACGAGTGAGCATCACTCGTACTATTAATCCATAATTGTACGAGCAACATCGCATGATTACTTGTTTATTATTGGCATGAAAACAAAATCTGTATTTCTAGACCATTACTACTTGTTGAAAAACAAAAAGCATGTTAGTTATACAAGTAAAACTCTCAAGACGTTGATTTTTTTTCATAAAGTTTATACACAACTACTGGCAACAATGACGCTTAGAGAGTGTGGTATTTTTCCTTTTAAACGAAAGACGACATGTGCATTAAGCTATTAGCCCCAAATTTTATTTCATTAAAGTCTCTTTAAAGTATACTCAATTTCAGCCATTCTGTTTCAATTTATCTCCAGAGAGTACAGGGCCTGCCGTATCTATGTTATAGGATACCCAACTTGTCATATGGATCTAATATGAAGCATATTTACGTAAAGATGTACAGTATAAAAGTGAATTAAAGATGCATATTACAAAGATGGAATGGGAAATTATTGGGTTTTCACTTTTCAGACTAAGTCAACCTTGTCAAAGCCATGATTTCAGTAGTGTTTTTGACGAAAACATCAACTTAGTACTAATCAAACTTCTAATATACCCCCACCCCCCAGGGTGGTGTCCATATCGTCACAAATCTTGCTTATCAAACCAGGTGAGGGCAAAATTATAATTTTGTTAAACTTCTCGATTTAGTACAAATTCAGCACAAATAATTGCTGGGGATTCGCTTTTTCTTAAAAGGCGAGTATTATGCTCTGACTTAGGACTATGAAACCTTACAGTATCTGACTTTAGACTTAGTTTTAATGTTTTTCTAAAACGTTGTATTTCGTATCTAGTATAATGCCTCGGGTTTCTGTGGACACAATCTATTCGGGCATAAAATTTGAGCCAAAGTCACTTTGAATATGAATTATGATAAATATTATTAAACTTTTGACTTAACAAATATTCTTTTTCAATTGTCATCTTTTTGAGTATTCTGAGAAAAATCATTTTATGAAATAAAATTTGAGCCAGAATGAGTTTCAATTTATATTAATTATTATTAAAATTTTACCCGAAATTTTTTTGAACTGCCTTTTAATTGAGTATACATAAAGATAACTCATTTTATGAAATAAACTTTAGGACTAACATTCGCTTTGGACATCATTGTTGCCAAACCCTTTAGATGTTATTTTACATCAGTAGGATACTATTTTTCAAACAGTAATAATTGTCCAAAAATACAGATCTAAATTTTCCAAACCAATCTTCCACAGTACTATTCAGCCCCGACCACGGACACTGCTTTTTATTATTTATGTTAAAACCAGAACATCTTATGAAAAAACTTTGTGCGTGCGCACGCCCTATTGTACACGCTCAAAATGGCAAAGTTGTCAATTTTTTGTTTTCGCAGTTTTATTACGCCATTTTATTTTTACGTTTCGTGCGAGTGTGCAGTTCGGACGCTTCTAAACTGTCTATCTCCCTAACTATTTTCCGCACGCGACGGACCATCTTATCCGCATGCAAACGCCCTGAAAAGGAATACCCCTGCATGCCTGAATACCTTTGTGTTCCATTGAACACACTGAGCCGCAATGACCGCCATAAGAGAGGAGACCTAGTCACTGGTAGCGGACTATTTTTTCATGCATGAAGTAAGACCGGCTACCAGGAATATACATGCTTTACCTTGCTACGGGAGAGAAAATGTTTGGAAAAAACTTTGCCACCATAATTGCCTTATTCTCGCCAATCCAAACGACCAACACGATTTCCACCAAGTCTTCTTACGAGTACCATTTGCACCCTCTAAGCTATGGGTACCATTTGTACCCCCTAACCCCAAGACAAACGATGCCAGTTTTTTGAAAAAGGTTTGCATGAGGAAAGTGACAAATTTCTTTTTTACTAACAAGATATTACAAAGAATCAAACAGCAATTTCCAATCGTCGTTGTATTTCAAAAGACAAAACTCTGGCAAAGCTTTTCTTGTACACATCCTGCCTCATGACCCTGTCTAAACTGTTGCGTTGCTGCGCTTGTAATGTGTGTGCACCAAGGCAGTATATTTACACAGAGGGAAACAATGGTAACATAAACGAATCATTAGAACCATGCAATAACCATACACTCAAATGTGCTCTTTTCAGATCCGTTTTCAAATTCAGAAGCTGATGAATTCCGAAAGTACAGTTTTTGCAAAGAAAATCATCATAAACTTTCATTCAAGCTATCAAAGTCTACTGAACAGAAAATAGATCGAATGTGTAAATATACTAAAGATTTATATCGCCAGGATTTATGCCGGATTTCATTGTATCCAGAACAACAAAACAAACAATGACCTGGGTACAATATCTACATATCTACAGCCTGTTCGCAGGCAAACAAGAAAGAACAGTACCTGAAAGTAGACATTTCTGTGACCTTTGTATATCCATCATAGTTTCTTTGTAGCCATTTAGTATAGTCACAAATATCGACTGCTGACCATGACATTCAATCCTTTCATTTCATCCGAGGCATCCAATTTCATCATCATTGTCTTTGTCGTTTTGTACATTTTCTTTAAATTCATAGCTTCATGATCATAACTACTGTCTTTGGTGTATTGTTGTAATTTGATCAGAAATAGAGGTATTTCGTCCTGTATTGCTCCTCGAGGCATGTCATCTTGGTAACACGATATTTTATAAATAGCATGTTCAGTAATGATCTGTAAAACAAAGCAAAAAATCAATAATTAATTCAGATATAAAACTTTTGCTACAAAAAAAATTGTACTGTGCCCTGATGCATGCTCTACTCGAGTATTTTACAATATAAGTAGGTAAATTAGGGTGCAAATCAACTTAATGGCTGGCTAAGGGACAGGATGACAGGTGGGATGATTTTCATGTACTGAAATAAGTCACTAGGCTTGAACAAAAGTTCAAGGATGGTTAGAAGAACACAAACTATAACTATGTCATTATGTCACACAATTACAAGTCTATAATTAGGAAAATAATGTGAACCTTCTGAAAACAATTACTTCCAAATGATAAAAACATGAATTGGAATATTTTGGTCAAATCAAAAGGGGGGAACACACAATATTTTTGAAAAATTCACAAACCTACTCCAAACTTTCAGAAAATTGTCCAAATCCATTCTTTTACTGTCGATTGCAATGGAAGTGTTGATAAAATATTGCACCAATTCCTTTCCTCAAGTTGATCAATTCATTTGATACAAAATTGATCAACTTCCTGTTACTTTTGGATGAGCCAATTAGATTTCGTTTCAGAACCGATTGGCCAATAGAAAACGCACAGGAAGTAAAACGAAATTTGAATTCGTATGAATTGATCAACTTGAGGAAATGAATTCATGCAATATTTTATCAACACTTCCATTGCATCGACAGTAATTGAAAGTAATTACTTTCAAGTGATAAAAAACATCAATTGAAAAATATTGGTCATTTGCATCAGATGGTCCAATACAACATGCTTACAACTTGAGTTGCACTGTGCAAATCAAGCACACAACCCCCCTAAGTTGTCGCAGGTGAGTGTGAATCGGCCAGGTGTAACAAGGAACTTCAAAATACGAACAGGCACGATACTGTGTAAAAATATTTTTCAAACAAAATGTATGAACTTTGTTTTGGTTAACCATTTAAGTTGCATTATGCCCTGATGCACCCTACTTTAGTATTTTACTCTGTCTAACACCACAGGATATTACTTGTCAAATGGACAGTGCTGCCACTCAATGGGTTAAAGCATAAAAAGAGTTCTAAAATCCACAACAATAGTTAGGCGCGAGCCGCACAATGTTTTACAAAACAATCTAAATCTTGACGTTTTTGACAGCCATATGCAATGGTCACATTGCAAACATTGAAATATGCTTTGTTCAAGAATTTTGTCAAAAATAGACGCTGGATGGTATATTATCAGCAACACAAGCTAGTGCTGTGCAAACTCCGGTTTTTCGTCTCCGGCCGAATTACAGCTCTGAGCTCCGGCCACATCATAAAATATTAAATAAATGTTTTACGATCAGAGAACATTTATTATTATGAAAAACCCTTTTCGCGCTTCCTAATTATCAGATAACATAACTCAGGAAACAAAACAGTGAAAACACTTAACCACGCAGAAAATATCTATATGGAAACCAGCCTCGAAAAATCTTTGACACGAGGCATGACGCGAGGCATGATTAATCTGTGCATAGCAAGCATGACAAGAATACCATACTGTAAATACAACTTACTACAAAACCCCCTGTCTGTACATATTAGAATGCTGCGCTCTGCTTGCTTGCTTCAGCCTCACTTGTCACACACCAATTATAAATTTTACAACCATATACTGTATTAGACATGTTGCAAATTAGTTGACTTGGGGATCCAATTTATAGAAATCATAAATAAAAACAATCCTAAATCATGCCTACTAAAAACTTATCGAACCCAAACAACCCAACACAGAATGTAGTTGTATTAGATACATATACATTATAAAGTTTACAATCTATATATTATATGTTATGGTATTACATATAAACTAGTTGGGGCATTTATAGAAAATCATAAATGAAAATAAAATAAAAATCCTAAATCATGCCAAACTAAAAACTAAAACGCCCAAGTTAATTTGAGATTGACGGAAAACCACCTCAAAGCGATTTAAGAATGTACAGGTACATTTGAAGCCTGTTTCCTGATATATTTATGCCGCAATTTTTGCTTTTTCTAAACATGCATCATTTTTACAGATTAATCAGTCCATCATATTGTTAGATTGTTACACTCCGCAATATTGTTTCCACTTAATTGGGCAACCTTACTTTGTTCTTATTTGCAGGAAACCCCCATTTTATCACTATTATATTTAATAATCGTACCAAGATATCCCTTGTGATGTTGCACATTTGCCCAAGATATCCACCAGGAAAATTGCACATGGTGTAGGTTTGCCAGCAACACACATTGTCATCCATTCATTACAATGCCCAATGTCTCCTTGCAAAAACCAAGACAACCAGAAAAGAATGCATTGTGTTCCACATCATTTCACTAAAATGACAAATTTTAAAACAAATTTAGCTTTAAAATACCCTAAATACTTTATGCACTAATGTAACCGTTTAAAAATTTGTATATATATAATAGACGCTTGTAAATAAATTCAATTGCTCTGAAGATGTTGTGAACAATACAACGGAACGTTAGCCAATAAATTTTATATTTTTGTTATGTCTTGTCTGAAAGTCATTTGCTGGGCTTTAATTTTCATTGTTAATAAATTACACTCATCTCTCTACTAAATTGAACTAAATTTCATGAAACATCAATTTGAAGTGGAAGTCAAGTCTGTAAAGAAAACAAACAGTTTGTTTACATTTTGAACTGCTGTATTTTTTAAGATACGATGTACTGTCTGATCATCTGGATGCCGTTTTGGTTCGCTATGCTTTTAAATTAATATAAAATAGAGTTTATGTTCAGAAAAATTCGATACATTCGAAATTTGGGCAATGTTCACTTTAGAGGGTCCTCACATTGTTATGAGCAGAACCGATGAGCAGAACAGACTTGACTTCCACTTTACGGTAAAATTGAATATTTTATCCCAGAACAAACATAAATGCAAACAGCAAAATATAGAACTGCAACACACCCTAAATTTGAATATAATTCAGGGGGACCACTGTGGGAAATAATTTTTTTTGAATATCTTTTTCATTGTTTTTTCAATAATTAGTGTTTAGTGTGACAACAGACACCATTTTGGCAACAGGCCACAACCACCCAACCTAGGGTCGCACAGTCAACGTGTTGAAAAAATAATAGGGTCGGCAGAAAAAATAGGGTTGGTCGGGGAACCAGAACCACAGGGTTTTTTACGCCTTAACTAGTGCTTATAAATAATTAATATCGAACTAATAATCGTACTGAAGTATGGCACCCAATTATTACATTTTGTAAAGTAGTAATATAAAACAGTTTTTTGCAACAGCTTTCAGCAATTCAGACTGGTAGCGTACTCAGCAAAGGCGTTGTCTGTGTGCAAAGTGAAATGAGCTCAGGTCAGGTTTTGTTTTAGCCGTCGGTTTTCTGTTTGATTTAGGGGCTTATATTATTTGTATTTTACAACATCTCCCAACAAAACTTTGGAATGGGTCATTCCAGAAAAGATCCATACCCCCCTACGGAGGAAATCGAAAATAACCCCCTCCCCCCCTTCGGACATCCTTGAATGGTTCATCCTCCCCCCTCTCCGGACATCAAAGCCCAAAATTACCCCCCTCCCCTTCGGACATCCACTATTTCTAAATTTTTCTAAAGGCTACCTCGCCGTTTGAAAACGTCACCGAAAATTAGACTACGTTCACACTACGCGCGAGCGAACTAATGCGGGCAGAATTTACGTGTGTTCACACTACCGCCATTACAGTTTGTTTACAAATTGAATTAGCACTCGTGTAAACCCAAAATATTTCAAATAGACCCAAGAAATTTAACTGAAAAGCATTCGAGTTTACATGTTTGTGTTTACACAAACCTATCAAGCGCTCCGCCGTTTTCGCCTCGCTCCGTTTAGAAACCGTGCTCAAATTGTTATGGCAAAAGTGACGTGAAAGTTTTCAAACGATTTCGCTCCAGCGTAGAGTAAATTAGCGATTGCTTATTCTGACTTTTCTACGCTGTTTTCAAATAGCTCCGGCGTGGCGGAACACTTGGCGGCTTCTTGTGACTTGCGAACACAAACACGTTTTGTCGGATAATTTGCAGAAATTCACTTCGAAATTCGTTCAAGTAAAATTCGGACTGAAATTCGATGTAACTTGCGACTGATTGACAAGCGTTGCTATGTTTAATTACATGTTAATGCATTTTTTAGTATTACTGCATTCCTTAACCTCGTCCTTAGGTGCCGATTACATGGAGCATTTTCAACCCCGGGGTTGAACTCAGCCCTGTTAACCGAGTTGAAATTTTTTGTGATTACATGGACGATTTCAACCCCGGGGTTGAAACGTAATAGTGTAATACTATACGTTCTCGGCATCGATTCGCGTAAAGTAAAAAAAAAAACCTTTATTTTGTTTTCTTGTAATAAATAGTCACTACCACGTATGCTCGAATAACTCATGATAATTTTAGCCCTGGGTTGAAACGATTACATGACAAAATTTTCAACCCAGGGCTGAGTTCAACCCCGGGGTGGAAATTTCAACCCTGCTAGCTGAAGCAGGGTTGAAATTTCAACCCCGGGGTTGAACTCAGCCATGGGTTGAAAATTTTGTCATGTAATCGCGCGTTTGATTTTGATAGAGTTTTGTATTACAGACAGGGCTGAAATTTCAACCCGGTAAACAGGGCCAGGGCTGCAAACTACTGTCGGACATCGGACAATGTCCGACTAAATTTGGCAAATGTCCGAGCAAAAGTAATTTTGATCGGACATTGGTCCGATCACAAAAAAAATTGTCACATTCACATACATTTTTTTGCTGTGACAAAATCCGATTGCAAATTCACTCAATTTGCATTTCGCAATAAAATTTACGAGACATTCTAGCACTTTACTACCGGAATGGCTATACATACATACTTGTCTCGTGACTTATATATATCTTGTGACATATACTGTATATGTCCGACCAAATTTAGTGGTGTTGGTTTTTGTCCGACCAAATTCAAGTTATGTCCGACCAAAATTAAAAGTGATCGGACAAATGTCCTGTCAAGTCAAATATTTATTTGCAGCCCTGTAGGGCTGAGTTCAACCCCGGGGTTGAAAATGCTCCATGTAATCGGCCCCTTAATATGAAAGCCATTTCTATTTTCTAGACACGCACCTTCCAAGGAAGCTTTCTTGACTATATCAGGGCTCAAGATTTGAATTTTTAACTGGTATCCAAGTGGATACTAGGGTCTTGAAATCTAGTATCCCTATTTGAAATTTAGTATCCCAGATTTGGGTAGTAGGTATTTCGATAAGTGGTATCACATGATTTTTATCTCGTGCTTGCAGGAAAAAACCATAGGCATATATAGAAACACAAGTCAAATTTCATTACGTTGCGATGGCGACAGGAAATTGCGCGTAATCATTGGTTATGCTCTGAGCAATCACTGCCGAAAATCGAGAGGCAGAAATTAACCTTGTGCTCAGGTTCATTCCATTTTCGTGTGACAAACAACAAAAAAAACATTATTTTGACGAACATTTCGCTGCGATGTACAAACTTTGCCAATATTTCGGGGTTTTTAGTATCCTGTCTGGATACTAAACCTATGATATCTAGTATCCAAAATTGAAATCTGGTATCCTGTGGATATCGGGATACCGCTAATCTTGAGCCCTGCTATATACTAAAACAAATTGTTTTGAGTTCAGTTCACATAGCAGTCTCTTAATCCGAGCAACTGTTTAATAACTATTATTTTTCACACTTGAATAATTCAAACTTATATATACGAACGAAAACTGCAAAACTTTACTTTTATATAAATAAAGCGTGTCAATTTTCGACTCATTCTCAACATGCAGGATACACTGTTACAGCGTTAAGTAAAATGCGAGAATGCCTCGTAAATTTTATTGCAAAATGCAAATTGCCCCAGGCAATTTGCAATCGGATTTTGTCACAGCAAAAATGTGTAATGTGACAATTTTTTTTGTGATCTGACTAATGTCCGATCAAAATTACTTTTGCTCGGACATCTGCCAAATTTAGTCGGACATTGTCCGACAGTAATTTGCAGCCCTGATATTATATATTTGAAAATTGCAGTGCTTCCACTTTTTAACTTCCAATTAGCGAAAATTCCTTGAAAATTCCCTTAAAATAAAAAAAAATTCACGAACCATTTTTTCCGAATTAATTCGAACCCTGCTTCCATATAAACAGCCCCGTAGACCAGTGTGCATTCCATGCACTCCACACTAGATCTAGTATATCCAGCATGAGGTTACAATATTGTTGGCGTAATGGTGTGAGATCACTCAAAAACAAGTGATTAGTTTGTGCCTGATTTCATGAATCACCACATTAGATGTTTTCAAAACATGGATTTAAGCCCCCAAAACTGAAAATCTCCGATGTATTGGCGTAAAGGATCATATATCTTGGCGTATCTCCGGCGTAGAGTTTACATGGAATGCACCCTGGCCAGTAGTGTTGAAGATTGCCTCCAAGTATCACCCAAAATAAATCACAACAAATCACAGTATAACATCTATTACAAAATCACCAATTTCACAGTTTTACAGCCACATGTTTTTAAGTTCTCTTGTCGAAAAAACAACCACCGGTATAATCCGCAACTTTCCGAAGTGTTTAAAGTTTGGACTTGCGCGTCCCACACATGAACAAAAATACTAATTCTAATGCATCAGTCAATTCTAGCATTGCCCATCCCCCCGGGCATTTGCACTTTTTTCTCTTTAAGTTGACAATTCCCGGGGGTCGGGCAGAAAAAGTGTGGCAATGCCCCACCCCCGGGCAAAAAAAAAGATGACAAATGTCCGGCCCCAGGGCACACCGACTCATTTAGAGAATGTATTTTAAACCTCAAAACTTCCATAACATTATTAGCTTCCTTGTATAAAAGCTACAGCAGTCATCCTTAATATACAATCACGTAGCAAGATATAAAACAAGGATTGTACTATGAATTCTAGTGTTTTTATGCTAGATAGTTAAACACAACTTTAATTAGTTTCTCAAGTGCGATTGGTGTGACGTTTTGTGAATGAAAATATCGACAAAATCCTCGTTTTTACACCCGAATTCTTCGACACCATTTTAATTTGATAGCACATGTTCGTCGCAGAAACGTCCAGTCGAGTCAAATGCCCAGCCAGTAAACAATTCCCTGCCCCTGGGACAACTTTGCAAGTACCAATGCCTGCCCCCCCCGGGCAAAAAAACAGTACAAATGCCCGGGGGGGGGGGATGAGCAACGCTAGAATTGACTGATGCATAAATTACGACAGTTTCCAACAGTAGAAATTTTTCTTAAAATATTTTAAAATTTCCCCCCAACCTTTTTAACTCTCAAATAGTTCATTACACATTTATTGGTTAGGGTTAGAGAAGGGGTTGGGCTCTGTTTATCCATACCTTATCTTAAATATTCCGACTACAGTACAAATTTCAATATAGCAAATCAAACTCGGCGTACTATTCCAGTACTTCGTATTAATATACAACTAAATGAACTAATTATTAAAAGGTAAACTGACCTTTAAACTGAAAAACTTCATTGGCTTGTACACATTGGTTTCTTTGCCACATAGTTCATTTGCTGTTGCTTGTAAATGTTTTATAAACCAGTACAGCAAACCTAAGTAGCGAAATTTCGGGCCGTCTTTCACAACAAATAACATCACAATAACTGCACATCCTTTTCTCTTTCATACAGAATCGTTTTCCCTGTCCATTGAGTTATAATTTCCAAGACTAACGAGTCGCTAAAACGTAAAATAAGCGGGTATTTGTGAACAAAAATGCCCTTCGATATAACACGAGGTAACCACCGCCATCTTGTCTTCTCCAAACATTACAGATTTTCCCGCCAAAACCCGCCCCCAAAGTCCCTTATGTAACTGACGTCACAAGTGTCATGGACGGGGGGGACTACCATATTTGGCGGTAAAATATTTCAAAAATACACACTAAATCTAATTTTAATCTCTTTACCTTCGCTATTTTTGCTTTCCACGTATTGTTTGACCCAACCACGATTGTAACACAACAATGTTTGCTTGCTAAACATTTTAAAATCAACAAAAATACAGTACCATTTAATTTCATAGTTGATAGACCATGCTCTTCGGGCGAACATTGGGAAAATCCGAAGCTGTTTGAGCCACTGAACCTTACTTCTGGTTATAAGCCCATGTTACGAGTCACGAAATAATTATAATAATTAATTTAACTATGCAAGCATAAATTAACTATACCCAAATATAGTAGCATATAGATCTGTTTCTATGGTTCTATGTTTGTATGATTCTATGATTCCTCTCTCCTCCGCAGAGGCTTTAATTGGCTATGAAGGCGCGAAGCCTCTGCGTGTGGCGATGCCACACCCAATATGGCGGTAAACCGGGGGGGGGTAACCTAACTTGTTTTGGCTCGAACAACATGGCCGCTGAAATTTTCAAAAAATTATGCCAACAAAACTAGCTTCTTTTCGGCACGTACATAGAATACGCTTACTAAAATACTTAAAAAACGGAGCTAAAACCACCTGCATTGCATCGAGGGAATTAAATTCACCAAGTGGCGTTTCAAAATTGGAAAATTTGGCATCAGAAGCAGAAAAAGTTGTTGGTTATCAAACCAGTCTAGTTCGATGCCTTTTAAGTAGCCCGATAACAGACCTACGTTTCACCCACCCTAAAATAAATATCGTATTGTTTATTACAACGGAAAGATACAACGCTGAAGAATTTGACACGTACCGCTCTATTCCCCTCTAGTTTTAAGGTCCCAGAGCCTTCAGTAAAAAATAAATTGAAACGTGGCGAAAGCTCTGTTAACGGGAGTGTTCTTTAATTAAACCGCGCCAATTACAAAACAGAATTAGTGGTTTTAGTGATAACAATCCTGCACCTCCACACCCTGCTGCATCTCCCTCAAAATGGGGTTCGATCGGCCCCTATGCGACTACTTTCAGTTTATAGAAAACTGTATGGATTATCTTCAACAATTATAGATGTTTACAAAAAGATATTTCAATCAAAGTGGGGTTATGGTTTATTGGGAGTAAGTATATTAGAATCATATTTAAATTTAAGTTGTTTAAAGGGTATGGGCAATGAAAATTGCTTCATCTATCTTATTGCTTCGTCTGAAAGAGCATGAAAAAATAAGCCGATTGGCCGTTTAATGCTCTATTCTATCTCATCTAGTTCGGAAGTTATACGCAAAAATGTGCAAAATATAAATTGCCAGGGATGGATCCAGCATGGTCTGGTAGGGGGGGGGGGGGGGTTGCTCTCCCAAAAAATTTTTCGGAAAGCAACAACCCCCCCCCCCCCCCCTTTTTTAGGGAAAAATTTTCGAGGGCCAGTCACGTTTGCAATTGCTTTTCCAGTGACTTTACGCATCCATCAACTTGCTTAACCACTGCAAATTAGCTGAAATTATCTGAATTGTAATTATTTGTTGTTTCACGGTTAAACTATCATCATGTTATTACTCAAATTACTGAATCTCACATTTGTCTCTGATTATTTTTTGCTTTATCGCGAAAAAATGGCACCCCTGGCCAGGGCTAGGGGGGGGGGGGGTGTGCACCCCCAACACCTCCCAGTAAATCCATCCCTGTAAATTGCTGATTCAGCACAATGTGTGACGTCATCAGCTGGGTAAGTATGTTTATTGAATACTACACTGAAGCATAGCTCAGTTATTATGGGCCCAAATCAAATGAAATTTTGGATACTGATTGTACATGATGAAATGCATAGAAAAACACTTCTAATTTTCTTGCCAAGGTAACAATGTCGTTCCCAGGCCCCCTGCGCCAATTTTATAAAACAGTTTTATTCAAGGTACTGATAAAAATAAAATAATATCAGACGTATGTGTACGATACCTATGCATGCCGAAAGTTTACTTGCATGATAATAATTCGAAAATGACATACACATAGAGAAATGCAACTAGTTATTCAAAATCAGTGTAAGGGGCCTGGGAACGACTGTGTTGCCTTGACAACGAAATTAGAAGTATTTTCCCATGCGTCTCATCATGTACTATCTGTATGCAAAATTTCATTTGATTTGAGCCAATAATAACTCAGCTATGCTTTAGTTTACTATTCAATAAACATACTTACCCAGCTTATGATGTCACACATTGTGCTGAATCAGCAATTTATATTTTGCACATTTTTGCGTATAACTTCGGAACCAGATGAGATAGAATAGAGCAGTAAACGGCCAATCGGCTTATTTTTTCATGCTCTTTCAGATGAAGCAATAAGATAGATGAGGCAATTTTCATTGCCCATACCCTTTAATTCGAACCCTGTTTCCATATAAACAGCCCCGTAGACCAGTGTGCATTCCATACACTCCACACCAGATCTAGTATATCCAGCATGAGGTTACAATATTGTTGGCGTAATGGCGTGAGATCACTCAAAAACAAGTGATTAGTTTGTGCCTGATTTCATGAATCACCACATTAGATGTTTTCAAAACATGGATTTAAGCCCCCAAAACTGAAAATCTCCGATGTATTGGCGTAAAGGATCGTATATGTTGGCGTATCTCCGGCGTAGAGTTTACATGGAATGCACCCTGGCCAGTAGTGTTGGGGATTGCCTCCAAGTATCGCCCAAAATAAATCACAACAAATCACAGTATAATATATATTACAAAATCACCAATTTCACAGTTTTACAGCCACATGTTTTTAAGTTCTCTTCTCGAAAAAACAACCACCGGTATAATCCGGAACTTTCCGAAGTGTTTAAAGTTTGGACTTGCGCGTTCCACACGTGAACAAAAATACTAATTCTAATGCATCAGTCAATTCTAGCATTGCCCATCCCCCCCCCGCGGGCATTTGCACTTTTTTCTCTTTAAGTTGACAATTCCCGGGGGTCGGGCAGATAAAGTGTGGCAATGCCCCACCCCCGGGCAAAAAAAAGATGACAAATGTCCGGCCCCAGGGCACACCGACTCATTTAGAGAATGTATTTTAAACCTCAAAACTTCCATAACATTAGCTTCCTTGTATAAAAGCTACAGCAGTCATCCTTAATATACAATCACGTAGCAAGATATAAAACAAGGATTGTACTATGAATTCTAGTGTTTTTATGCTAGATAGTTAAACACAACTTTAATTAGTTTCTCAAGTGCGATTGGTGTGACGTTTTGTGAATGAAAATATCGACAAAATCCTCGTTTTTACACCCGAATTCTTCGACACCATTTTAATTTGATAGCACGTGTTCGTCACAGAAACGTCCGGTCGAGTCAAATGCCCAGCCAGTAAACAATTCCCTGCCCCTGGGACAACTTTGCAAGTACCAATGCCCGCCCCCCCCGGGCAAAAAAAGAGTACAAATGCCCGGGGGGGGGGGATGAGCAACGCTAGAATTGACTGATGCATAAATTACGACAGTTTCCAACAGTAGAAAATATTTTAAAATTTCCCCCCAACCTTTTGAACTCTCAAATAGTTCATTACACATTTATTGGTTAGGGTTAGAGAAGGGGTTGGGCTCTGTTTATCCATACCTTATCTTAAATATTCCGACTACAGTACAAATTTCAATATAGCAAATCAAACTCGGCGTACTATTCCAGTACTTCGTATTAATATACAACTAAATGAACTAATTATTAAAAGGTAAACTGACCTTTAAACTGAAAAACTTCATTGGCTTGTACACATTGCTTTCTTTGCCACATAGTTCATTTGTTGTTGCTTGTAAATGTTTTATAAACCAGTACAGCGAAGTAGCGAAATTTCGGGCCGTCTTTCACAACAAATAACATCACAATAACTGCACATCCTTTTCTCTTTCATACAGAATCGTTTTCTCTGTCCATTGAGTTATAATTTCCAAGACTAACGAGTCGCTAAAACGTAAAATAAGCGGGTATTTGTGAACAAAAATGCCCTTTGATATAACACGAGGTAACCAGCGCCATCTTGTCTTCTCCAAACATTACAGATTTTCCCGCCAAAACCCGCCCCCAAAGTCCCGTATGTAACTGACGTCACAAGTATCATGGACGGGGGGACTACCATATTTGGCGGTAAAATATTTCAAAAATACACACTAAATCTAATTTTAATCTCTTTACCCAGGGGCGGCGCTACAGGGGGGGTGTGTGTGGGGGGTGGAACACCCCCCCACCAGTGGCGAAGGCAGCGTCGTGTGAGTAGTCATGCAAACGAGCGCCGAAGGCGTGAGACATCCTAGGGGGGTCCGGGGGCATGCCCCCCCGGAAAATTTTTGAAATATATACCCCAGAAACGCCATTTGCAGCAATCTGAGCATCAAATTTCAGAAAATAGCTTGATCTAATGACAGGAAAATATGTGGATATTTTGGCATATTTCAGACAACAATAATGAAGATCGACACAAAAATAGGAAATCTGTGGTCTGCAGTTCCGCTAATTATAGTCATACCGGCAATTGTGCATTTCTTTTCGATCAGAAAATATTACATGCATGTTCTGTATTATCATAGTCTGTATAGACTACCTAATTGCTATCCCCTTGTAGTATTCCAACGTGAAGTCTGAAGAGTTTTCACATTTCCAGAACTAGATACAATTTTATCCACATATACTATAAACGGAACTTAATGACAAATAGCTGCTAATACAGTCAGTATAATCTAGAATATAGGTATAATATGCAGGACTTGGAAAATATAACGCATGAGCCTTGATCAATTTCCTTAATTTAAAATCAATCGCCCAATTATTACAATATTACATACAGAAATGAATTAAGCATTATCAGATGTTTGAGTAGAAGACGTAGAAGTTTTACTGTCAGTTTTATAGCCGAATTCTGCATTCATATCGATTACTGGCTATTGCCAATATTGGATATTTTTGAACCCACGGGGAGTATGTACCAAATGGTAAATACAATTTAACAATATATATTGAAATTTCTTTGTTTGTTTCACAAACAAGTATATATCAAATATGTTGCTAAATCACAATCGCTAAAATGTTTGTGTTGCGTGTTGAAAATGAAATGTATAAGCTTTGCAGCGCTATTGTTTACTACATTGACCTCGACATTGACATCGTATTTCATAATAGCGTTCGATGCTTTATACGCCTATGCTCGGGTTGAATGCTTAAATATTCAAGACAAAATACATGTAACAATAACTAAATACCAATAGGCAATAGCTTATTTAGCCTAAGCCTGACTGGCTAAGCCATTCTTTCTTTGAATACCACGACATTTGAAGACCTTCCCGATCGGGCATGTCGAAAGATCTGGCGTTTGTCTCTGCTTATAAACAATAATATTCTGCTCAGCAGAAAATGGTTTCTTCACCAATTCCCAAACAATATCGTTAGCTTCGAGTAAAGAAGAAGTCGACATGCTTGAATGACCTGAAGACGTGTTCATTCAGGCTGAAAGCCTCGCTGAAAGCTTCGAGCTAAGAGGCTGTGATCAGGTTGTGTTGCCCGTTTAGTCACAGATTAAGTACTTAATCTATGGTTTAGTCATGCAAATCGAAAATTGCATGACCAAGGCGTCAAAAACAGCCGCATTGCGCGTGCGCGAACGTCGTAAGCCAATCAGAAACCAACAAACCTAATATAAAATAATACAGCTAGTCATGAAATTTTGAAAGTGCATGACCAAAACACACAGCGAGCAAACCACGCAGCAATCACACGCAATCTTTTTCCACGCGCTTACGCAACCGGCCATGCATGTGAAAATATGCAGGACCGCTCAGTTGCCAAGGTAACAAAGCCAAAATCAATAACATACGAGAATATTTAGCAAGAATATCGCCTAAAGACCATTCATTTGGGTGAACAAAATAATAAATAAAATACTTAGGCGTAGAAGTGCAAAGATAAAGTATAATTCTATTGTAAACAATTATACTGAACTGATTTTTAAACATTTTTGGGGAAATTTTTAGTCATGCACTGCATGACCGCTGGCTTCGCCACTGCCCCCCACTCGTCAGAGGAGGTTGGACAGCAGGCCGCAAAGCATCATGGGTATTGAGCGCCTAATTCCGCGCGTGGCTTCATTGACTGTTGACTGTCGAGGAGTGAACATCTCTCTGACTAAACCAATATGGAAGCTTTCGAACGACAAGAGTGTCAGGCTGCGATACTTTGTGAAAAGAAACAGCATGTTATTGCTGTATTGTTGCGATCATCATTATGACTTGTGTTTTACTATATCAAGTTTACCTTTTTTAATTTAAATCGCATGGGACGTGCTGTCATTTTAGCTTTATAAATAATCCGTCTGAGAAAAGAAATTGTGTTTTAATTTTATATTCCCAATATCGAGGCTCTTCTTTCA